GCCTACGACACACACAGTGACAACAAGAACTATATCCTTTACAACTGTTAATACATTGGTAAGTGGCAAATCGCAGCTATTCTGCTTATTTTTAGAAAATCTCAAATGAGAACACTGTTTCGTTATCATAGCTTACGACAACTGGTATTGCTATCACAAGTACGACGGGGCCTCCCAATACTACTACGACAACCACTACTACCACCAGCACAGCAAGTAAGAAAGACGCTATGCCGTCTCTGTTCCATTCTTTCACTATGGTTATGTTTACTTTTAGCCACCACCAGTGTTACCGTTATTACTACTAGTCAGCTGGTTACTGATATGACGGTTATAACACCACAAGATTTCGTATGTATAGTCTATTTTCATGATGAAAGTTTTTCATGCTAATATTCGTTTATCCCCTATCGTCAAGGAAGCAGCCTGTCAACAACCTGTAGCAATCGTTACAACTCTGATGTTTGTTGCTATGGTACCCGTACACATCGTTGGATTGTTCGCATTGCTTACAAAAGTGAACAAAACGTTCAATCCAAACTTTGTGAAAGCGAAATTGAGACACAATGAACGAATAAGACGTTTAGCTAGAGGAGGAAAACAATGACCGTAATTACATAAACAGTTATCAACTCAGCCATATGACCGAGAAGAATGAATAACTGAAATGGTATGTGCTTGAAAATAGAATCTCACACATGAACACAAAAAGAACAAAGCAATTGTGTCAGCCATATTTAACCTTGATCTGCTTTTTTGAGTTTAAGATTTTTTCGCTTCTTTTGTTTCTTTTTATTATTTTCCTAACTCTCTAAGTTATAAACTATTATTAACTTGGAAAAAAACCTAACTTTTCTCTGCTTACTCACAGTTGTTTTCCTGCTATTTCATATTCCCCATTCTTTTCTTTTACCCTCTGCTACTTCGGTATATCATAGCAGATTCCATGTATGAACTGGTTTATATTAAGAAAAAATTTAATAAAATATTATTATATATACTATGCCATGATTTTTATACCATTCCAATGTTAACTTTTCATAAGCAACTTAAGGTGGTTTATCCTAGCATTTTTGACTCAGTATTGCTTTTATCTGTATGTTTAAAGCTGCTTTTTTCAATTAATAGTTTAATTCAGCTTGGACGCTTTTCATTGGTCTCTATTTGAACCATAGTGCTGTGCTAGTAAATTGAACATTCACTTCACTATTATATCTGATTTTCTTGATGTCATTTCTGTTGGTGTTAGACAACTATGAATCACGTTAACAAAGATAAACATGCCTTCTTATCTCTCTAAAACAAAGTTGCTATATGAAACCTTTTACTATCATACCATAATCTCTTTCTATTCGGAAACTTGTTTTCAGTGTAAAAGGATAGTTCTGGTCTATAAGAGAAATCAAGTTATCCTGTCGTGTAACGATTTTAAATCATACTTGACTCCAGCTTCGTAGGTAATACAATGTTAGCGTTTTAAAAAAGTTCGATTTTTTTCAAAGTTTTACGCCGGCATAACATTCCATTTCACCTTCATCAATGATAAGTAAACATAGATTTGTCGCAATCGATCGAATTTTACATGTAGGTAGACATAAAATAAATCCTGATTCATAGTTTGCTCCTTTTTTGTCAAATTGAAGATACAATGTATTTTTTGTTACTATTTATACACGAAAACTAATCAATATTCTTGTTGATATAAATCAGAGATCGGCAAGTCACACTTTTCCGATCCAAATCAAGCTGTTGATTTATTGTATCACTGCAAGACTTTGTAATTTTATTCTCTATCAATGTATTAAACAACAATTTTACGTTATCGCCCCTTATTACATTCCCGTATAGTTGCACATTTTAAATGCCGTTTTTAATATCGTTGATCTATGTTACTGAAATATGAAGCCACTTAAAGAGAAAATTCTCTCGACATGTGATAATGTCACAAGAACCATGAAAACTTGATTCGTCAATTCACTGAATGCTTTGTGTTTAATCTTTGACAATAGGGACGCAACGGTGACGATCAAAAACCGTTCCACCGTCACCGCTTCACCGGTCCCACCGGGGCCCGATCCACCGATGCACCGGTCACACTAGGGCCCGGCCCAACGGTGCACCGGTCCACCGTCTCACCGGTCTCAAGCGGTGGAACGGTGAACGATTAATCGTCACCGTTGCATCCCTATTTGACAAATGCAAAATTATCGACTTTTCCATTTTGTTATTGTTATTGACGAATTGTTATGTTGAAGCACTGTATAGTAATCATATATCAATTTTTTTAATTTTATCGCACAGAATACTTTTTGTTTCTTATGGTAATGAGGATTCCATAACACAGCTTAGAGGAACTCTTTTGTGAAACAAATTTATCAATGGAAACATCTAAATCTTCCAATAAACCACGAAATCGATATACAATGATGATTTATACAAGATATTTGACTGTTCGTATAATAAATCATGATAAATTGTTAAAACACTTAATGGAATAAATGAGATCGATTATTTATTTTCAAATTGCGTTACAGTCGCTCATTTAGTAATTTATAATCTTTAGCTAATAATTATAGATCTTTATGTTTAATCAGAATTAAAATCTCATTCAACTTTGATGATGGTATGCGTAACAAATTTTTCGGTTGTGTTCAATTGAGCTTTAGGTATTTCTATATATATAAATTTATTCGAGTTTCTCTGCAAAAATATATAATACTTGAATGTGATAATATAACTATATTTTAGACACTATATTACTAAGGCAGATTGAATATATATGATATCTACTTAAAGCCATCATTCATCACCAGATGAAGAGTGTGAGCCAAACATTGCGTTCGTATAATTTATTATTAGCAACAACAATATCAACATTCGTAGTTTCCTAATGGTGATCATTTTTTTCTTATCAAGTAATTAACAATTTCTATCTGAAACAAATTTATTACGAAAAAAATAAAATGCAAAAACAATAATTTTCTTTATTACTATCATCTCTTTCATCTTTTTTTGCTAACATGAATCTATATATATATATATATCATCTTGTATATATTTTTATTTTCTTGGCCTTTTTCTTCTTTTTTTATGCTTGATTTTGTTCATATAACGACACATAATAGATTCTTCTGATAACTTTACTTCATTCATTCACGTCCATATATCAGAATTTGTCTCCCTCGAGAATTAGGTTGTCGATGATAAATTTCCAGGTGGTTATTTGTTCGTAGTTTTTCACCGATAGTATCAAAATGGTTTCCCATTTGTATAAAAAAATCGAGTATCTTCAACGTAGTTTTTAAGGATATAATCAATTTACTTATTAAATTTTGAATTATAATTATATAATTTGCCAATGATCCTTTCCATAGATTTATTGACTTCACTTGGAGTTATGGAAGGAACAAGTTAATAATATTTGCTATTTGACAACGAATATTATCTTTTTTTTGATAATTTTACTAAATTATGCTTTTTAATTTTTTCCATCTATTTGATGTATAATAAAAATGACATCCTTTAACTAATACTTGTGGAAATATATCATTAATGGCACTAATCAGACCTTGTTCGAAATCTGTTAAGATTGATCATAGATTTAGTACAATATCTATTTTGTTTCATAAGTAACTAATGACTGATATAATTCATGATAACATCCTTCTGGCTTGTCTTGGTCACAAGAAAGAAATATTGATTTCTTGATGAATTTGTCCCAGACATGTATATAATATGATTGAGTAAATAATGCAGATGATATTCGAGATGTTTTGTCACTATTCCAATGTCGACTATTGCTTAATAATGTTAATGCTTGCTTTGATGCAAATGATAATATTTTGTGTGTTGTTGGTAAAGTAAAAACCAAAAATCCTTGTTTATTATTAGTAAAACACATATCTACAATGACATTGTTTGGTGAATAGAGTACAATGTTGGTTTTCATACTGAAAAAACTGGAATTGAGCCAGCTGTATCGTTTTCAAGACGCTGAATAAAGTATATATAAACATAGTTGTTGTTATGCTATGGAAGTAAACTGAGGAACATAGAAACTTACAACTTTTTTTCTTTCTTATTCGTGAACTTTATAGTAACAGGTTGATTTATAGGGAAAAGGACACTTTGTCTCACCCCTTTTTAACGGTCTCCCTGTAAATTAGTGTGCTTACGATATCCTGACATGAAGAAAAAGACATGGTGTTCGGAATGTAGTTCGTAAATGAAATACAACAAAAATACATGGTGTTCGGAATGAAGTCTGTGCAGGAGTTCGGAATCAATTTTCAAAATAGTTTTTCAACGATTATAACCATCGACAAAGCTATTTTGAAAATTGATTCCGAACTCCATGTAAATTTTTCCCTTTACGAGCATCAAAATTTGCCTGGAGATCGGAATCCGAATGTCACGATGTTCGTAATGACAAAGACATGAAGGTCGTAATAAAAAAAACGACACAATTATCGTAAGTACGCTAAGATTTGTTCACACATGAGAGAGTATGAAGTGATATGCTAGTCTTTCAACCTAAAATCATGTATAGAGAACGTTTTGATGAATACAAGCAATTAAGCTTGCACTTGTGTTCACTATTATAATCCTAGTGTTAGTTATTGTTTTTCTAATTCCTTCAATACACTCTATCACAAATATCAGTTTTATTGAAAGAAAAGAAATACATATTTATTCCTAACTCTACTGTGAATGTACATTATCGTTCTATTTATTTTTCGATGAATGTCCACGTTTCTTGGCCCTAGCTGTTTGTTCATTTTCCGATATTGTAGCAATGAGACCAGATTCAGATAATGAAGTGGAATATGATGACGAAACAGCAGCAATATGATAATTGGTTCTAACTCTAGGACGACTCAATATTGGAGTTGAACGTAAATGAGGCGCCGGAGCAGTTTGTTCAATTGTTGTTTTCAACACGTCTTGTTGCTTTTGTTTTTTAATCGAAATTAGAAACAAGTTCTAAAAGCTTTTAGCGCAATCCCTGTGGGATTAAAATGTGAAACGCGATGAAAATTTTTTTCTGGAATTCGACTCTCACGCTCACTGATGTTCTGTGGAGCTTCTCTGCTACAGTCTGTAATATGATGTATGAAGCCTCTAGAAACCACCACAGATCGTTACAGAGAATTCAGAAATCATCACAGACCGTTACAGAGAAATTTAATGATTAACTAATTAACTGATTAGTTAATTTCTCTGTAACGTTCTGTGGGGGGGGGGGGGGCGCTCCACACTTCTACCCTATATACTTCAACACTCCTTTCAGATCGTGTTTCACAAAACTATATGACAGAAAATCTTAATATCAATTACAATATTCTTATAAATTCTGTTACGAAGTCCATGTTAAAGTACCCTTAGAATTACCTTCCGAACACCCGACCGTGTTCATTACGATCTTCAGGTGTTATATGAAATGCAGCAAAAATACCCTATTCCGAACATCCAGTAAATACATTACGATCTTCCTGCTGTCTCTTACGATCTCCGGTACATAGGTGTTACGAACTACCGGTATAATATTTTAGGAAAAAAAAGCATTTTCGAACACCCGGTAACATTTACCGGTGTTCGTAAGAGGTGAGACGAAGTGTCCTTCACCCGATTTATATCAGTTAACATTTAATGTTTCAATCCACAAAATACGACTCGAGCATTTTCTAGTAATTCGAGATCATGATTATGATTTGCGCCATTTGTTTTTGTTAGGATAGCAGATAACTCTTATTGTTATCTTTTCATTTTCTTTGATTGGTTCTTCTGTTATTTTATGAATCATGATTTTTTACTTCTTTCTTTTTCTTTCGTTTTACTAACCAGAATAATAAAAAGAGAATAGCTGAAGAAGGGGATGGCAACGAGAAATCTAACTGTTTTTATAATTACATTGTTTTTTAAAGTAATTGTACGCGAGAACCATTTGAAACTAAACAAATAGGTTAATGAGCCGTTCTGACTTTCACATCGCAATTGAAAAAGTAATTATTATATAGAATGGCTTTTTCGCTTTTTGCTGTTGTTGATCAAGTATAGTTTGTATTTTTTGTTTGATACACATAGTGATGTTTTCTTTCTCCACGATTATATATTAACATTATCAATAGGAAAGAACTCATATTTTTATTTTTCAATAACTAACTTATTAAAATGATCGCAATTAGAAAGGGTGTGGGTGTGTGTTAGAGATGGTGCGGCCCAATATTTTTGTACCCGGACTCAGTAAAAAAACATTTTCGATTCGAATCCTGTCGAACTACAGTTTTATGCTGTTAATAATATATTCTAAGAGGAATTCTATGATTACTTCGAGGAAAAAGGAGGCTTGCGGTCCGGTTTTGTCCTGCATCTCGAACGCACCCACATATTTCCAAGATAGTCTTCACTGAAAGAGCCTACCGAGTGCAAGATTTTTAAACCCAAAATAGGAAAAGCGCTTGAACTTTAAACTTTAACAAGTAAAATAGTTAAAATTAAAACAGACTTCTCCGAACAATTTTATTTTTTCCGCTCAAAAAAATAGTTTTGGATCCGGAACCAGATCCGGATCTTACCAGACAGGCTCTAGTGATAGTATACTTGTGTGTCTTACAGAAACGACCCATATCCACACCGATTATAGAAATTTATATCAAGTTGATGTAAAAAAAAGATTAGACTTTTTTTAATCATTTTTTACAGTATGAGAGTTTTACAACATAGATGCCAGTTCAATCAATCCTATTTCTGTTTTGTTCGTCCTGCATTCTTTCCCCTGTCAAAAAAGAGTTAAGATTCGATCCAGTTCGGCGTTTTTTTTAAAGAAGTGGTTCGAATACGATCTCTGTTTTTTGAGCCCATCGAGTTGAGCCCGATATTGTAATTACTTGAGTTCTGGTTAAGCATTCGCACCACAATAATTTTTTATGAGGTTCTGATTGAGTTCAAGATTTTAAAATATTAAAATTAGTGGGGTGTACCAGCGACGATGGCCTTAAAAATATGAGTGCGCTCCTCATCCCGGACGAAACCGAAGAAGAAGCATTTCTAATGTTCAAATCGACTAAAAGATTCCGATTAGAATACTTTTTCATTCAGATCTGAGTGTAGGTTTCAAGGTCTTTGGGCTGATGGGCTCTACTAGCTACTACGCAGACTGTCGTAATTCCATGAGAATATTGATTCTGAAAGTAATTCGCCAATATTGTCGAAATTTCATAAAACTTTCACCAGCATGTCACACACATGCAATACCTTTTCATTACGAAAAGAAGTTCGTTTAAATAAACTAAACTTAATTGCTTTTTGATTGAGTCAGTCGAAAATTGGGTTTTAGCTTTGAAGATAGATCGAAATCAATTAAAAATTGCAAAATGTTTCAGCAATGCCCGATGACTGAGAAATAGGAATTCCTAATGTGTCGATGAATTGTCAGTGCCGCTGTGATAATTCCTAGAGGAAATGGGAATCAAGTATAGGTTCACTCACAGTTCCACCATTCACGAAAGTTGCGATATTGCTGTTTTAAAAATAATTTTTGCATGAAATCATTGATTCTCACAATTTTTCAAGTGAAAATGAGTGTAAGAACAAAAATTATCGTGAATATTTCATATTTTTACCTTTAGTATGCAAGGAACTGTAGGGGAACTGATGAGAAATTTCTAATCCTCAGTCCTTGGACACTCCTCGTCATTCGGCACATTTTTATGATACAGTACCAAAGAGAGTAGACGCTTCTTTTGATATTATCTTTTAATCTGTTGTATTGCGTCAAATCGCGAACAAAACATCACATCAGGTAGCAAATATGATTTGTTAGTGTCCGCAGTATGAAGTATCTTTTATTTTGATTACGTTTATTGTTCTTTCAAAAATTTCGAGAGACTTAGTAAATATATGGGAGCTCGAATCGTCTTATTAGTTTTATAAATGTCACTAACTTCACATGTTTCTAGCAATCTTATGTATGCAGGTATCCTCAGTTGCATTCTTTGCACTCTTATCACGCAGTATGGTGAGAAATTTCTACTTTAGCAGTCTCGTTGGTTTCTGGGTAGATTTGGATGAGCTATATACTCTCTTTCACTCTTAAAGCAAAGCTTCTTGTGGGTGAACCTCAATAAATGGCTACTGACTTATTTACACCAAATCCACCAGAGGTATGCGTAATGCTGTCGTTACGATGAATCAACTGAAATTCCACGACTTTTCGGGTTGCCACTCAAGAAGACGAACGTGTGAGTATGATTCTCTACGTAGGCAATAAGTGCATGCTGCTGCTCGAATTGAAACAACACAAAAAAAATATATAAAATTAAATATTTTACTTTCACCACAGCAAATCTATCAGGTCCACTTTGCACGGTAAAAAAAAACTGCGCAGNCAAAACATCACATCAGGTAGCAAATATGATTTGTTAGTGTCCGCAGTATGAAGTATCTTTTATTTTGATTACGTTTATTGTTCTTTCAAAAATTTCGAGAGACTTAGTAAATATATGGGAACTCAAATCGTCTTATTAGTTTCGTAAATGTCACTAACTTCACATGTTTCTAGCAATCTTATGTATGCAGGTATCCTCAGTTGCATTCTTTGCACTCTTATCACGCAATATGGTGAGAAATTTCTACTTTAGCAGTCTCGTTGGTTTCTGGGTAGATTTGGATGAGCTATATACTCTCTTTCACTCTTAAAACAAAGCTTCTTGTGGGTGAACCTCAATAAATGGCTACTGACTTATTTACACTAAATCCACCAGAGATATGCGTAATGCTGTCGTTACAATAAATCAACTGAAATTCCACGACTTTTCGGGTTGCCACTCAAGAAGACGAACGTGTGAGTGTGATTCTCTACCTAAGTAATAACTGCATGTTGCTGCTCGAATTGAAACAACACAAAAAAAATATATAAAATTAAATATTTTACTTTCACCACAGCAAATCTATCAGGTCCACTTTGCACGGTAAAAAAAAACTGCGCAGAGAATGAATTCAAAATACTTTCAAGAGCTTTTTTCTATTCATCTATTTACTTTTGAATAATACTAGAGTGATTTGTGCAGCTGAAATTTCGTATTCTTCAGTTTTCCACCTTCCAGCTGAAAATTATCTATGCTAATGCATCAATCGACTCTATCAGAGAGGCGTCACACAAACATCGGCGCTCACATATAAGAACCAGAAAAACAATCTTTTCTAATCACAAAACAAAAGTGTTCGATCGAAGATCTCTACCTTCTATAACTGTACAAAAAATAGAAAGAAGAAACATACGAACAACACAGACGATAACCGACCTCTGATAAAAACATGAAGATCTTTCTAAGTGTTTTGCTCCTTATTTTTTCTACGCTATATGAGGCGGTTGACGGATCACATTTTCGCGGTGGAATTATTTCTTGGTAAGTTTATTTCATTCACGTTTCCTGTTCAAACCTGATCTCGTGTATCGGGATCTTTCTATTCTTCTCAATCTTAGGCGTCCACTAAACAATACACCGTCTGGCTCTTATGCATCAATTCTCATACATCAGAGATATTTTTGGTATAGAAACTGGGCTGGCTTTAACCCACCTTATTGCAATGAAGCAACCGTTGCTGCTCAAACATTGATTCCAGTCGCCTCTACAATGACATGTTTACGGAATTGTTCAAGCTCAACCTATACTCCACTATCAACTCGGATGACAAGTACAGACTGTGATTCGAATACATTAATTCAATCATGGGCTGGAGAGCGTTACGATACTTTGTCACTGCCTTTGACAACATCGATTACAATTGGTTTTCCTTCAAATGCATGGCTTTCCGCGCTCTATATTGGTGGGGATGGACCTTGGTCCATTGTCAATCGTCTCAATTTAGCCCCGAGACCCGACGGTTTTATCAACACAAGTCCTGTTACAAATACACTACCAGTAGTATTTGTTCCTGTCAATACACCAACAGTTCACATTGTACAAATGGCTGATAATGATGCTACTGATATATTAAACTGTCGTTGGTCCAATTCAGCATCTACTACGAACTATAATCGTCAGGATGAATGTGGTAGTGTTTGTCGTGGACTTCCCGTTTCAACTGTACTCTATTCATCTAATTGTACTTTGGTTTTTACTCTGCCACAGACAAACATCTATTATGCCTGTGCACTCCAAATCGAAGACTACTTTGACTCATCCTCAGTTAATCCAATGAGTTCGGTTCCAATACAGTTCTTATTCTATGCATACACACCTTCAGGTAGTGCTTGTTCGTCTCGTCCAGCAGTCATCGGTGACCGTCCGAATAGAGGTATGAGTGTGAAATTGAGTCTTAGTCTAATTTAAACACTTAACGATGCTATTTGTTTTATACGTTTTCAGCTTGCATTGGAGTTCCGTATAGTAAGTATAATTGATAGTAGTCTTTACTCTGATATCTAACAGCTATCGTTTAGATGTTCAGTTGACTGAAAGGATCGTCGTACAAACATACTGTACTGGTCAAACAATTGTTGACTTTGTTACTAGCTCGCCTATCGGAATGTTGCATAGTGCGATTGGTAATCCAAGTTCTGGTAAGTATTTCAGCGCCTTTCAGCTGGAGGGAGTTAAACTTTGCTGTTTGTAATTTAATATTGTAGGTATATGGACAATGGTATTAACATGGACTCCCATGGCAGCACAATCAGGTCCTCAAGGATTCTGTGCTGCTGCAATTGACAATAATAACTTGCAGTCTGACCCATGGTGTATTACATATCTAGTTGACTATACATCGCCGAATCTAATTCGTCCCACAATGGTACAGGGATCAGCAAGTCCTATTGGAACAGTTTTCGCGAATCAAGCAATATTTTCAATAATGGGTAAGAAGTTTTTAAAACATAACTAATGTTCGCTTTTAACTTAATTTGTTGCTTTCCATGTTCTGTTCTAACTAAACAGCAACGAGTCCTGTTGGTCGCCCAAGTCGAAACGGAACAGATATCTGTTTCAACGATGCAGCGACAAATACGTCAGTAGTGTGTTATGATGCTGGTTATGCTTCGAACCTTTTATATAATGGATACACAATTACTATTATCACGAATGTAGTATGGACTTATGGCCACTCTTACTATGTAACATTTGATAGCGGGGTTGCTAGCGGAAATGTTTTCTGTCGTAAGTCTTGCTTTAAGATTCATTGGAAAAAGAAAATTATTGTTGTTTCGTTCGAATTGGTGTAATTCAATAGATGCTGAATCGGCACCGATCACTGACACGACCTTTTGGACCTTCAATATATGGGACCCAGCCGTTTCGAGTACAACAACAACAACTACAACACCGCCTACGACACACACAGTGACAACAAGAACTATATCCTTTACAACTGTTAATACATTGGTAAGTGGCAAATCGCAGCTATTCTGCTTATTTTTAGAAAATCTCAAATGAGAACACTGTTTCCTTATCATAGCTTACTACAACTGGTATTATTGCCACAACTACAAACATGTCGGGTAGTACTACTACTTCAGCGACTACAACAACAACTACAACAACTAGTAAACGTCACTTTAGATCACTTGTATTGTTCCACTACGTTTCTCTTGACTCGTAGGTACTGCCACTGTTACCACTGCAACTACAACTCAGTACGTCACCGAGATGACGATTATAACACCGCAAGATTTTGTGCGTAGTGTCTATTTTTATGATAACTTTTTTATTTTAATATTGTTTTATCACCTATCTTCAAGGAAGCAGCCTGTCAACAACCTGTAGCAATCGTTACAACTCTGGGGTTTGTTGCTATGGTACCTGTACACATCGTTGGATTGTTTACATTGCTTACAAAGACGAACAAAATGTTCAATCCGGATTTTATGAGAGCACAATTGAGACACGATAGACGAATGTGGCGCGCAGGTAGAGGATAACAACGAGTAAACTTGCAAAGACAGTGATGAGATCAACGATATGAATGACAATTATCACTAGTTTTTATAATTTGGTTTGACACTAGCATATCACATTTAAACACATAAAGAAAGTAAAAACACTCATGTGATCTTTAGAATTCTAACAACATGCTGTCTCGTAATGAAGTTTTGAAAATTATATATTTATCTCTGAGATGTTCTTTTGATTATGGGTTTTGTTCTCTTTATTTTGTTGCTTTGCGCATTCTTTTTCTAACTCTCCGACTTCTGAAGTTTTTCATGTTTACCTTAACACAACATATGTACCTCTTCTTTTTCATAAATGTCCTGTGTGCGCTCTTCATTTTTATCTCATTATCGCTTCTGATTACTTATGTAAAGACATATTCTGTGCGTATACGTTTTGATTGATGCCAAGAAAAATTAAAATAATGCGTGATTCCTTCTATACTTAAACAGCTTCTATAAAAGTTTCAAAAAAGGAAGATTTTGATATGGTTATGATTTTCATACTTCGTCACTTGAATTCGATTATTTTAATTTCACGCTACATCGTTTGTTTTTGCATCATCGCATGTTTGAAACTAGGAAAAATAGAGTAATATAGCATCGTATTGATGTATTTAAACTCGCACAATAATAATGCATGGATGTAACATTTAACTTTTTTCAGTGAAATTGACAGTAACGCTGTCTAATAATGTAACTGCTGGTTTGAAATTATGCACATTATAATGCATAATTCTGTCATAGGAATCTCAATTGGGTTAAGAACGAGAAAAAATCTAGCTATGAGAAAGTGTGTGACTATTAAATCATTGTCTTTTCCGTTCAAGACACGAAACAATGGTACTCACATCCTCAAGATTTACACGAAATAAGTTCATTATATTTACTTGTTTTGCCAAACTTTTCGATGCACGTTGAAATTCATAATCAAGTTTAATATTATCCAATGCATTATTGATAAATTTTATATGATTAATTATTTCTGATGTTGTATAATGACAATCAGATGTTAATATTTGTGTGAAATTTGATTGAAGGTTTTTTATATCTTTGTCTAAGAAAGACATGCTGCCGTGTACTCGGGAAAAAACCTAATGAAAACAAAATGTTACGAGTGTCATTCACTTCTCTTTTATTATTACTTAGCAACATACTTTTTATGCATGTAGAAAAATTCGCAAACAGATAAAATTATTTTTTATGTTCTGTCAATGGAATTATTTAGAAGGCAATATATCTCATGTTGTTTAATGTCATTGTTTGGACAATTCTTCTATTCAAAAGTTATTTTGCCAGATATAATCATCTGATGATCACTTTTGCATATATAAGCATCGAGAATGACGAGTTCGTTGGCAGAGGGTTTTAGTTTTCTTACATAGATAGGATTTCACCTGTTTAAAATGATAAAATTAATTTAATGAATTCTGAATTATTTCCAACGGGACAAAGTCAATTGCCTTCTTCGTATTTATTACTCAAGCATTTATTCGATAGCAATTTTTTATTTTAATCAAGCAAGGAAACACAAAATTTAAAAGCTTTCGCTCTTCAAGTTTTTCTAATGAATACTTTAATTTAGTCTTTTCCTTGTCATGCTCTCCCGATTGGATAGCCGCAACCAGCATATTCTTCAAACCATAATCTGAAGAACATATTATACACTAATTTAGCGAGGAATGTGTCTTCAAAATAAATCTATGAAAAGATCAGAATGACATTTTTTACTTTAATGACAGATAAGCGATCTTGCCGATAGCTCCTACTGTTTGTTACCGAATGGTGAAGCTACACTCTTAGCTATTGTATACTTACATCGAATTGAAACGTCGCGTTCAGTGAAAAGTTGCCTTTTATATGGAAAGAATTACAAGCGCTAGCCTTTGATTAAAAAATTGTTTCCGGTGAAAAAATGATAAAGGAAAAAAATTAAAAATACGAAGAGCGTGATGGTCTCTGTGCCACTCGATAGTTGAAGATATTAGTTGTTTGACACATTCATGTCATTAATACTATCAGATAATATAAGTTAGCCGTAATTATACTTCACTAAAATCATTAGAGTGGATTTATTTATCTATCTGGTGATCGAATTATAATAAATTGGAATAGAAATCGCTTTTTTTTCTTCTGCAAATATGTGAATTCTATAAGTGGATTAATTTTGTTCGTACAAAGCAAAAAAGGAATCGCAATAACAAGATTTACTATTTTTTACAATAAAAGTTTTCAACGTTTTTTTCTGTGGTATCATTTAAGATTTGATAAACGATGAAATACGTCGAATATCTTCTTGAACTTCAACATTATCAATGTGTGTTGATGGCAATAGATTTTCGTATATCGATGCTGCTCGTTTAAAATAGTTTAAAGCTTCTAAAAAATTTTTATCTTCTTCAAATACAAGAGCTATATTTCTTAATGTTGTTGCTAAAGATGGATCTTGCGGTGAAGCATAGTTACATTTTTCTTGAAATGCAAAATTATAATTTTCTATTGCAGAATTATATTCGCCCATAGCAAAATAAATGTTACCAATATTATTATACGATCGACCTATATCAGCATGAAATTTATCACGTATAGATAAAGCTTGTTGATGGCACGATAATGCTTTTGAATAATATTGTTCCTTTTCATAAATACAACCCATATTATTTAAACATTCGGCCATTTCAAGAGCGCCTTCATCGCCGTATATTTCTTTCCAAATAAGTAAAGCTCTATCATAATATTGTAATGCTTGGTTATATTCAAACATATTCTGATAAACACAACCGATAGAATAATAAATATCAGCTAAATTTGGATCATCAGGTTTTGAAACTTTTAAGAAATTCTCATACCAATTAAGACTGGAATCATAGTTATTCTTTAGAAATGATAAGTAACCCAGTGTACTGTAACATTTAGATATATCTTCATGATTCGATGGCATTTCTTTTAGTAAACGTAGAAAAAACATTTCAGCTTCATCATTTCTACCCATTTTTTGTAATGTACGACCGCATGCGACCAGATCTTTTTCATCGTATGATTTTTTAAGATTTTTTAGAACAGTTTTAACAATCCATATACCATATTTTTTATCCTGTTGAATATCAGTAAGTTGAAAAACTGAACCTAACATAAATAAAACTTGCTGTTGGTGAGGAGAATAAGTTAAAGATGTTATATTTGCAAATGGTCTTGAATTATCGACATTTGGATCGGCATGAATTTCAAATAATACTCGTAGAGAATCGTTTGTTATTGGAAATTCATTTAACGATGATATTATTGATTTCCGATCATAATCAGTTGACACAAATGTATTTATTGATATATTTTGTCCAAGAGAACTTTTCAATGTATTAAATTCATCGATCGACATGATTTGACCACGATAAACTTCTATGGAAGATTTTAATTGATATTTTTGTATAATTCCACATATGTCACGAATAAGAAATCCAAAATTAAGTAAAAAATTATAATTTTTAACATTCATTGCTTTACTTAATAGACGATAAACAAATGAATCTTGCGTATACCACCATAATATTTTGTCAGAACTGTATTTTTGTTTAAATTCATGAATGATCGATGTTTGATTTGGATCATTATTATATTGTTGTAAACATGTATTAACAAAGCCTGTTACATCCGTTGATAATGTTTTCATTTGAAGAAGACAATCAATGAGTAATTGAGAATGAAAAATATCATCATGGAGTAATTCGTCTGATAAATTATTTGTTTTAGATATATTTATTGGAAATGGTTCATCCAGTTTGAATTGACATCGTTTTGAATAATCTGATTGAATACGATTAATAAGTGTGTCTAATCTGGTTTGTACAGTTTTCACCTAAAATTTAAAAAAATGTGATTTCATAATTGGTGAAAATCAATGAAACTAGATCACTAAAAGAGTAATTTGTCTTGCTCAAACTTGAATTTTATGACTACTATGAAAACAAAAAATTACAAAGAACAAAAAAAAGCATTTATTTATTTTTTACACTCCTTTTTAAAATGATGAATAATTTGATGAAAATTACCTTGATGAATTTTCTAGCCCATTCTTCATTTTTTTCTTTGTCGTGACAATAAACATAAATGTTGAACACTTGTCGATAGTGATGAATATGTGGTACTATTTCTTGACCTAAACGTCCGCTGGCAATTAAAAATACTCGATCATATTGAGACTTTTGTTGTATGTATTGTTTACAATCTGGAGCATTTGAAAATGTTTTAAAATGATGAATAATAGAGCGAAGCTCTTTTTGAGTAGCAATATTTTCAGATGATATATTTACTGAAGCATCAAGCCAAACAAGACAAACGGTTTCTAGATCATTATTATTCACAAAAGTGTATGTTGCCGTCATTGTTACTTTTTTCTTTTGATTTTTTAAAATTTTGATTGTCAGATTCAGTCCAACTTGTCCTTATATAAGCAATGCATGTATTGCTTTTTGACTTTTTCTTTCTTCACTTCCATGCCAAACGGCAGAACAACGCGAAAAAAAATTGTTGCATGTGACTTATTTAATGATTTGATTGTACAATTTCTTTTACAAAAAATCATAAGGTGTTATGAAAAATCATGAAACGGAGAAGGATAAACAAAACACATCATGCTCGATGACTGAGGCATGTTAATTATTTTTGTAGCCGAGTACTTGGAATTTACGACTATTAGATCAGTAGAAATGATTGAAATGAAATTTGTTTTTCTAATGCAAGAAAATTCTATGAAAATCCTTTTTTCTGCTTGCTGTGAAAAGATGTAAATATTGATAATCATCGGATAATTTTATGAACTTTACTACCATCAGATTTAGTACTTCATAACTAACAATGTTAGCCATGTGGTCGTACATCGTTGCGAACTGTCATTCCATTAAGTAATCTGTTGTAATCTATTAGTTGAAAAACATCTCATTTCAATCTATCCAAGCAAAATAAATCATATAGCAAAGAGGATAATGTATATGAAGTGAAGTGTAACGATCCAAAATTGTTACATAGAGGATAGTTGTGTTTTCTTTTTGGAAATATCATGTTGTATGTCTGCAGTATGACTATAGTGAATGTTATTCTTATTTTTTTTCTTCGAGATATAGATCTGTAACGATGTTAATACAGAATAAAAGTTGATTGTTTTTGAAAAAAATTTGAATTTGTCGAAACGGATAGAGTTATTGAAGAGATTTTGAAAAGATTATTTATTCTGGTTAGACCGGCCGAAGTACTTTTGGTTCTGGTTGATTTTAGGTACTCATAATAATACTAAAGTATGGTGTTTGCTTTCATCATTGGAATATTCATTGAAATAGGGCTTTTCAATGAACTAAAGCTGAATACTTTGAAAAGCGCTTTGTTGGTATCGGTGAAAGCTATAGAAAATATCTTAAAAATACGGAAACCTTCATTCTTCTCTGAATACGGGTCATATTAGTGTAGACACATCAGCATTTATAAATAGGATGCATTATTTTCAAGAAAATTGAATAATGCTTATAGATTGTATTACTTAAGTAAAAGTACAAGCAAATGGACAAGTGAACTTTGTTCAACAAAAGGGAACGATAGAGATGCAATGGTTTAAGAAGACGTAAAGGTAGAAATAAAATACTTTTATTTTCTGTATTTGTAATAGTCCTAGTTTTTTTAGGTAGAATTCTTTTCCTCACTGAGGAGTCTTCAGTATGCACACATTTGGACCCAGAATCTCACATCCATATTCAGTCCTAGATATTCTTTCCTAAACATGTTAGTTGCTCTTAGAAATGTTTTATTATCTACAAAACAAGGTTGCATTTTGACACCGATCATAAACACTCTTACAGAATTATACATCCATCACTGTCCTGATAATCAACCTTTTCATATTGATCATCAGTATCCAAGCGTATCTCAACGCGCCCACGACCTGGAATAATTTTTAAATTGTTTCTATGGGCGAAATTCTCGACTTCTGGGTTAATTTTAGCCATTTTATGTGGTGAGTGATTTCCCATCCCTGTAATAACTGTCAGTCGTGATATAGACGATGAACGACATTCATTTAATTTTTGTTGTAAATATTTCAATGCTTCAAAAACGTAAAGGCCGTGCAAATCGATGAAGTGCTCTGGAAGATTTTGATTAAAATGCTGGAAAATCAATGCCGCAGCTTGCTCATTTTTCTCATCCATTTGGGAATACAGATCTTTTTTTTGATTTGACAATGCTTTTGCTTCTGATTTACGTCCAGAATGATATTCATGTTGAGATTGCCGCGATGCTGCTTCCGCTTCAGATTTACATTGATGTGCTTCACGCCGTAATGATTCCGCCTCGAAAGGAATATCAGATTTTACTGATGATGATACAGAGGTTGCATAGAAAGTCGAATGATGATCATCGGTAGTGGAAGAGAATGTACTACCCATAATTCAGTTTAATATCTAACTGAAGCCAACGCCCTAAAAATAATACGTTGCATATGTAGTAGTGCCCCCTGTTTCAAGAAGCTGTGGGTGTGAGGGGGTGGGCAAACTTTCTATTCTATATACGTCAATTTCCTTTTAGAACGTGTTTCTCAGAAAGCTTCTACCAGAATTTTCGAAAGTTTCTTAGGCAATTAAACATATTTCGAGTTATATTTCAACTATTACCATCACGCCATCGATTTTAACAGGGAGAAAAAGTTAACTCTGGCATAATATGTGTCATTATCATATCCTTCGCATTTTAATCATATCTCATATATGGTGAAGATACAGAGAATGCAGAAGGAACATGAAATATATGATGGGGATACTTGGATCCATTCTCATCGCTTCTTCTAGAATGAAACACAGAAAAGAAAATGTTTTTTTTGCATTGTCTTTAAGCAGAAAAAAGGAAGACGTGTGACAGCTTTGCGTACTTTAAATTATTTATTATCAAAAGAACAATGACGTAGTTGCTTCGCTCTTCTTTCACTAACGATTCTACTACCAAAAATCAAACAAAAAATAAAGTGTTTGTGTAATGTTCGAGTAGAAAAAGAAAGAATCGTTGCAAATTCTCGTGATCTATTTTATACATTGTGCAAAGAATAACGACGTAGTTGTTCTCTTCTTTCCCTCGCGCCCTTATCATGAAAAAAACAAATGAAGAAATATATTTTACTATTCGATTGCAAATATGTGATAAGAAAGCAACTGAGGACGCTAACTTTAGCATCGCCTGTTGCAATGATGTTTCATGGAGTCTTTCGACTCTGCTGAAATGTTTCATTCGATAGAAAAGTTGAAACTTCTTTTCTGTTCTATCCAATAGTGACCTAATTCCAGGAACCCTTCGAAATTCCAAACTAGGACAGTGAGTAGATAATTCAAGCACTTACAGAGTTCTCGGACTTCAAGCAGGTCATAAAGCCTTCTGTAGGAAAGAAATGCGTTTACACTATATGAAACTAAAAGCTACGGCATCGCATGGTTGGGCATATTATCCTGGTAGTGACATTGGTCCGAGAATGAAAGACTGTAGATAAAGGATGCTTTGGAGTTTAAGAGCGAAATAGGAGTTAACAGTAGATATATATCCACTGTTCTGTATTATTGCAAAAATGTTTCGCACATACAAGGCTTCAATAGACATTGACTTATGTTTTTAAAAAAGGTTACATATCCAATAGAAATCTTCATTGTTCTTGATTGTTTACTACCTGAATAAACGGAAATAGGCAAATATATTACAAGTACTTCATTAATAAGGTATGCATGACAAAGAGAAGAATATTATATTCAATGTTTCTCTGTAAAACATAATGGGCTGTGTTACTTAAAATTGAAAATGGAATTAGAAAATAAGTAATTCAGATATATATATATATTAAGCTGTGCTTCACAATTTCATTGAAATTTATTTTTAAAAGGTCACTTAGGACAAATATAATAGCAATAGAAATATACAACATCATTCTGTTGTAAACGTTATCAATTGTTCTTGGTTATTATTTCTAAATGATAAATTATCGCGGCAGACCAATGCTGTTATGTATATTGTTTTGATGATAAAAAAATCTACAATAGTTGTTTGATTTAAATGATAAAAAGTACATTGAAGTTTCGATAATAAAAAAGAAATGAATGAAGCATCGTATCACGAGAAACATAGGAAAGCAAAACAATATTTATTCATCGCGGCCAAATTATCATCACTCGTATTCAGTGTTTTATCTAGGTTTCATTTTTTGGGTGGGCGGTTGAAATTTTTGGAGAGGCTGCTGGCTAGAAAATTTGTTATCATATAGGAACGGGTGGCCCATAAAGAATGGCGGTCTCATTATTTACTCAATATCTTTTTTGCCCTTCATTGATTTGAACTGAACATTTTCCCAAAAGATTGAGCATTCAATTCTCTACAAACTCACGTGTAAAAGATTTTTTAAACTACAAAATGGCTAAGTACTAAAACGAAGAAAAAAGGTCGAAAAATCTTCAACTTTCAAGCACTAAATCCATTGTTTTTTGAAAATTTGCTTTCCATGTGAGAATCTACGAAAAACCCCGGCTACCATGTTAAAAAGCATCAGATTCTGGCAAGATTCATGCCTTCGAATTTTTTTTCTTTACCAAATAAGTAAAAAATTCTGCATAAATGTTTTCGCTGTTTCTAAAAAACACAACTGTTGCGTCATGTTTTTGATGCTTGCACTAAAAAGCATGCCATTCACTTAAAAAGTGTTATTTTTTGACGATTCTTTTTTCTTTGAAAGCCAACATACTCGACTACGCCCCTGTATACTTGTTCGAGTGATTCAAAGTTTCGTTTGCAGTAGACTTTCTTGTAAGCTGAAATTAAGGCGTTATGGACGAATTTTCAGAAAATATCGATTTAATAGGCGAAGACCACTTTTAAAGAAATGTTTTCCAAAGATATCGAAAAGAGCGTACTTGAAAATACCAGAAAATGTTTCTCCCGTAACTTAAGCCTGCGTATAAATTGTCGAAACATACTCCAAATGTTAATGCATGTTGACCTTGAAAGTTGAAGATTTGTTAACCTTTTTTCTTTGTTTTAGTACTTAGCCATTTTGTAGTTTTAAAAAATCTTTTACACATGAGTTTGTAGAGAATTGAATGCTCAATCTTCTGGGAAAATGTTCAGTTCAAATCAATGAAGAGCAAAAACGATATTGAGTAAATAATGAGACCGCCATTCTTTATGGGCCACCCGTTAATATACTTTTAAATATCGATATATCTGTAATATGAACTATAAAATTTAAGTGGTCTACTTTAATAATATTTTTAAAATATCATTCAATTTCAAATAAATAAGCGGTACAGAAATCTATTATTCCGATTTCTTCATCAATATAGGAAGCGCCTATTCAGAAGAACATCGTTTAATTTAAGAGTACATTTCATACTACGCAACTTGAGCACGAATCTGATCGAATGGATAACAAGTTAAACAATCATGAATTATGTCATATGTTCGAACAGTAAGTACATCACTTAATTAATTATAAATCTATGAAAGTATATATATATATATACGTATATATACGATCTGAAACGCAAACTGAATTGAAATAATAGCAAAATAATGATTGTGTAACATCTAAAATACTTTTTTTAAAATAACCTTTATATGTTTGTCTCACTAGAAAACGTATTTAAAAAGGTTTATTAAAGGGTTTGTGGCAATTTCACATACGGAAACAAAGGGTTTATGAAAGGGTTTAGGATAGTTTTAAATACGGTGAAAAGGGTTTATTATACGTTGCACTTTCATCAACCCTCTTTGGGTTTATTATTCTACGAATTTTTTTTTCACAGTGTTGTGTCGTACACAACCGTTTGGCCATAATTCACGGCCGCTTGGTATGCACCGTATTACGGTCGTTTTGCATCGTGCCATAACCGATTGTATACGGTCCCATACTGAAATATCCGACCACATTACGGCCGTAATACGGTGCATGCCAAAACGTCAAATTACGGCGATTTACGGTCGGGAACGTTATAAAACGGTAGTATACGTTGCCTTATGCAGCCGTTTACGATCGTATCAGGTCATCGTAATGTTCGACCTGGGCTGTTGGAACGTCTCTTGTTTTAGTAATTCTTTTTTTTCTAGAGAATTAAGTAAAAAGCTTCAGAGCCTGCCAATTTTATTGTGTTCATTGTAATCATTGAGTCAGAGTGATCAATTTTTGAATCGTTAAGAAAAAAGATTACATAATCAATTTACTATACAGATCAGATCGCACGCTACACTTTATTGAGTGCATTGCAACGTCGGGTAAAAAATGTTTCATTTTCAATCTATTTATGCAAGTTTTATTAATCAATCAATGGAAAGAATACGTTTTGGAGTCGAGTGCAAGAAAACAAAGCGATTAAAAAATCAATTGTTGGATAAATTCTTTCTGTATGTAGAAAACAAAAGCTGAGCTAGTCTATATCGATTAGAAATAATGATTGCAACTAGGGGTGTCAATTTACAATAAATTAAAATTTTTCTCAGATCAATATTTTTATTTAATTAAATTTTTGGACTGACAAAATCATCTTAATTTAATAAATTATTTGGATGAATATTCATCATTGTTATGAGGAAAATTGTGACTTTAATAGTAGTAAATACTAAATGAGAGGAGAACCAAGTATTTTAGAGTAATATTTGTTCATAATAGTCAAAATTTTTCTACAGATTATGCAGGAACCGTCATCTTTCTTCTTCAAAATACCGGGATACTCATAAAAATATATTTAGTAGCACAATTTGTAGAAGAATGACTAGCTTTAACTTTAGAAAACAAAAAACATACTCAAATTTGACTTGAAATAATAGCAATTAAGTCAAAAACTATGTTTATCTACTAGTTTTCAAATTTTAACTAATTTGAATTTCAAGCAACTAAATTAAAATTTTTGAAAATCTATTTCTTGATCTAATTAACTTTTTAAAATTTACATGTGACACCCCTAGTTGCAACGAGTGCTCTTTTGAAGTTATACACACCTGTAGTATTCTATTCTTAATGAAAGGCTCTCATACATAGGCTCGACTATTATTGAGTAGAATTTTTTTTATTGAATGTTACAGCAGTAGCAAATTAAAATATATTAGCATGCTTACTAATTCCAGGTCCTACTCCAGAGCCATCTTTTGTGAAACACGACCCGAAAGGAGTCTTGAAGTGTTTAGGGTGGAAATTTTGCCTATCGCAGATCATTACAGTGAGGTGATTTATCCATCACAGAGCGTTACAGAGGTGCTTTGTCGAAGTCGAACGGCAAACAATGTTGAGGTGTTTAGGACACACAGTTGGATTCATTTCACATATATTTTAATTGATGAATTAGCTAAATACGGCATAATTAGTTAATTACCTATAACAAACCGTAACAGATAGACATTGGAACCAGCAAACTGGTTCGAAAATTCA